GTAGCCTGTGTACATCCGTTTCTCACCCCTCAAAAAATCGGGGAGAGAACGTCTGTGATTTGCCGTTGCTAATCGTGTTCCGAGGTCACGTAGAGTTCCTCAAGATTTTGAGGAAGAATTTGATTGGCTGTTGTATTTCAAGACTTGTGATTGGCCAAAATCAATAGATGGCGTGTAAAGTTGGTCACACGAGTGAAATATAAGCCTTCATGGTAAACCACTGGAACATGTAGAATGCTTCAAATTGAATATGTTATTTGCTCTCAAATTCTCTGTAAAAGTTTAGGCTTTAATCTTATATTCGGTCAGGGTAAATTTAAAATTGATGTGGAATTATAATGTCATTAGAATTCGCCGCCAATCTTCACGAACAAAACTTGCATTTGTCAGAAGTGCTAAAGAAGAGAAGGGGGCTTAGTAGTTTGTACTCTACATCTCATAATAGCCTGCGAAAGCGCCAGAGTTACAGCTTCAAAACTGCCGAGGACAACGGTTGATGGAAGTCATTGTATGACGCAGATTACAGGAAAACCACATTCTGACGAGACACCTCTACCGAAGATAGAGAGAGCACGGCATAGACCAATGGGCGGAGACAATAATGTAAACCACGGTCGAAGTTAGAATTGAATGGCTGAAACAAAAACAAAATCTCTTGGCATTATGTTCGAATTATGTTGCGGAGCGGTCCATTGTTTACTTGACCTTTTAACGTGCCTGCTCAAGCTCTAACGTGCATGTYACATTATATATGCAAATTTATGTCAGAACACGATAAGCAACGGCAAATCACAGACGTTCTCTTCCCGATTTTTTTGGAGGGGTGAAAAACGGATGTACACAGGCTAGTTATTTCCGACATCATAATTTTTTTACCGAACTGAACTCTAAGTAACTTTTTTAAATATCCTGTCTTTCTCAGTTTTTCAAAATGGCTTGCCCGACTTTACGCTCTAAGAGCGTCTATATTATTCAAAATATGAAAATTCGACCTGCAAGGTCATTTAAACAATAGAAACGGTACAGCCTTTGCAGTTTTTTCAGTATTGCAACTTTGAGTAATATTTTGATCGTTTGAATCATGTGATAGAGCGGATTTCGTATGAGTGGGAAACGGACGGTACTGTACTGTGTCCGTAATCGTACTGTAACCAAATTCTAGTTAGACTAAGTGCCCCATTGTTTCACCAAAATTCTGCAGGCCAGGCGCGGTAACTGTGCGGTAACCGTGCGGTAACGGTGTCCCACTCATACGAAATCCGCTCTATCTCGTAAGAACTAGTAATAACTTTGAGTTCGTGGACCGGCACGTTCCGAAAATTACGCTGAACATCTTTTAGTGTGGGCCTACCACTAACGGCGTGTGCGTTTGTAAGTGAGATCAGCGTTCTAGGGTTGATTTCCTTCATTTTCAGCTTGCTTTTCTCTATCACAACATTCTGGGTAGRTAATAATAACTAAAACAAGCAACATTTTATCAGGAATAAATACCCGAGTGCAAGATACGCTTGATGTCCAACATTGAAAATGCAAATYTTGAAGTGTACTGTTTCCAGYTGTTGAAACCTTTGCATGGGTCAATGATGAGAGATTAACTGAAGCCTGTGTTTTTGGTACTGCGCTGGACGCAAGTCTGTCCGGTGTGCTTGGGTCTACATAAAGATACTGCCGCTAAMCACTAAAGTATACGTATYTKTTTTTATACGTYACGAAGRTCATGTATGTGCCCGATTCGGGATACCCAGAATTGGTATTGTGGAATTGTGCATACAAGCACTAACCGAGCACGGAATGGTGACAATCTATAAATAGTAGATTGTTTCTAAAAATAGCGC